CTTCCCTCTTTTTTTATACCTCTACTTCTACCCTCTTACTCTTTCCCCTTTTCTTATTATTATTATATTCTTATCCTTATTATCCTTATTTTTTTATTCCTTATCTTATTCTTATTATATTTATTACTTTTTTTTCTTTTTTCTTTAACCTTTTTTAATATTTATTTATTTTTTATTTTTATTCTTATAATCTTAACCTTTTCTCCTTCACCCCCTTTATTATTACCCTTCTTTACTCCCCTCCTTTTTTCCTAATTATATTTTTTTATATTTTAACTTTTCTTTTTCTTTTTTCTTTTCTTTCTTTAATTATATATTTTTATTACTATTTTTTATTTATTTACCCTTCTTTACCTTTCTTCCCTCTTTATTATCTTTTTACCCTTCCCCTCTCCCTTTTTCTTTACTCTATATTAATTAACTAATAAAATCAACTTTTATTTTTTTCTCTCTTCTACTTTTATTATTTATTATTCTTTTATTACTAAATACTAACCTACTTATCCCTCCCCCTAACTACTATTCCTACTAATCTATTAATTATTATTCTTATTACCCCTACCCTTATACTTACTACCCCCCTTTACCCTCTCTAAACTACTCCCTCTTATCCCTTACTTTTTTTCTACCTTTTTTTTTTAAAAAATATTATTCTTTATTTACTCTTTTTTTAACTTCTTTTACTCTCTTATTTTTATACCTATCTTTTATTATATTTCTCCCCCTTTATTTATTTACTATCTTTATTATCTTTTAATATTAATCCCTTTCTTACTTTATTATAATTCTTTCCTTTATATTTATTACTATCTCCTTCCCTATTCTTCTTTATTCTATATCTTTATTTTATTTTTATCTTTTATTCTAAACCTTACTTCTCTATTCTTTCCCTTTTTCTTTCCTCCTCTTCCCTCTTACCCTTATTACTTCTCTTATTCTTCTCTTATCTTTATTATTTATTCTATTTATCCTCCTCCTTTTATATCCCTTTCTTTTCTTTTATTTTATTATTTCTTTTTTCCCCTTAATTTTTTTTTTCTTTTCTTTTAATTTTCTTTATTTATTATATCTTTTATTACTCTCCCTAACCCTCTTCTTTTATTCCTCTTTTACTTTACTTATATTATCCTTTTACCTTACTTTAACCCTCCCCTTTACTTTAATATTATTTTTTATTTTTATCCTCTTTTTATTTTATTCCCCCTATCCTCTACTTTTTCTTAACCTTACTCTCTCTCTTCCTTATTTTTAATAACCCTTTTATTTATTATCCTTATCTTTATTATTTTATCTATTCTCTAATTATCTCCTCCTCTTCCCCTTTTTACTCTTCTTTTTATTTTTACCTTTTTTTCTTAATACTTTTATCTTTTATTCTTACTTTTCTTTAACTTCTTCTTTTATTTACTCTTCCTTACTTCCCCTTCTCCCTTACTATCTTATTAAATACTTATATTATCTTATTCTTTTTCTTCTTTTTTAACCCCCTTTATTATTCTTATTTTTTTTTTCTCTTCTTTTTATCCTTATCCTCTCTTTACTTTCTTTTATTATTTAAACCCCTTTTTTTTTCTATTCTTCTTCTTTCTATACTCTCTTTTTATCTTTATTATTACTTTACTCTCCTTTCCCCTTTTATTCTTATTTATTTATCCTTACTTTCTCTCTTCCCTTAATTTACTCTATCTAATTTCTTTATATTCTTATTGTATACGAACTATAACGTAACTAATCTATATTTCGCGGAGTAATATATCGGCTATTCGTACGGCCTGCACGCATAGAGTGCCCCCTAGCTCGGACGGCTCCCCGAGCCAGCGCATATAGTCGTCGATATTCCGGAACGCCCGCGGCGAGTGCTTCTTGATCAACGCCCGCGGCCCCGCTCGGAAGAATGCACCGTAGCATAGTGGCATAACTATATCCCGGAACCGACACTCGTTCGCGCTGTCTTGCGTGGCCCGCGCGTCTGGATCGGCCATAGTGCATAGAGCCTGGGGCATATAGCAGCGGAAGCACGCCGTGAACTTAGCCATCCACGGCTTGCCCTCGTCCCGGCAAGCACGGATCGTCTTCTCCTTGGCCCGGATCCACGGCCACCGCCGGCCACACGTCGCGGCGGCGTGGTCAAACGGCCTTCCGCCCTCGATCCGGCAGAGCAGGCAGCAGCCACGCATGGCCTCGAGACGGGCCTCGAACCGACCAAGCGTCTCTTCATCGAGCCTGGCACGACGAAGCACCTCATCCGGGCCTGTGTACTCGTTCGTTTCCGTGGAGCCGATATACACGGGGCCCGGGTCCGTAGTGGCGTCCTGCCCTAGCTCCGTGGCCTCTGCTTTCTTAGCTACGTCCGGTAGAATCAGCTGTCCGACGGGCCGCGGCTCCGTGTATGGCCGTGGGCAGACGCCACACAGCTCGTCCTCGTCCGCCATACACCATCGCCAGTCGAGCGGCTGGTCGAGGAACTGGCTTATCACGGCCCGTAGACAGTGCCGTCCCGTGAGATAGAGCTGCATAGACTCCTCGTCTAGGTCGGCGGGTTCGCCTGGCCGCCATCCGGCGCTTAGGAGGATAATAGACTCGGCAGGCTTCCTATCCCGGCCAGCCCGGCCTGACTCCTGCGAAAAGTCCGTCATACGCCGCGGGGGGCCGGCGTGGACGACCCACCGCACGTGGGGATAGTCGAAGCCGACCCCGAGCGCAGACGTGGCGACGATCACGGGCGAGCCGGCCGGGTGGAGCCATCGTTCGATCGCGGCGTCCTTATCCTCGCTGCTCATCATCTCGCGGTCCCCCACATACATTAGGCAGCCGAGTGCCTCCGCGAGCTCGGTGACGGCGTCGAGCGTGGGGCAGTAGATAATCATCCTCGCTTTCCCGTAACTATCGTCCTGCGTAGTATCTCTATCGAGCTCAAGTCCGCCCCCGCTCGCTAGTAGATTCCGTACGAAATCGACCGTCTGATCGCATAGCGTGCCTGGGCCTCTATATCGCTCGATACGGTACCGAACGTTCGCCCGGTTCGTCGATTCCCTGACGATCCGCGGCCGCACGAGGAAGTTCTGGCGCGCAAAGGCCTCCTCGAACGACGGAGGTAGCGTCGCCGTGAGCCACACGGACTGGGTCCGCACCTGGCGCACGAACGAGCCGAGCCGGACCATGCTCTTACGGAAGGTCGCCGTGAGCGTGAGGTGGCACTCGTCGACGACGATCCGGTCGAGCCGCTGCTGGGCCTCGAGCCGGAAGGCATAGTCGAGGAAGCCTCTTGTGCACGCGGCCTCGGCCGATACGATTACCAAGGGCGCCGCTCTCGACTCGCCCGGCGCCCACACGATCGCCTTTACGCCGGCCTCACGTAGCCGCTCGAGTATATTGCTTCGGAGCGCCACTGTCGGTAGGATGAGGATCGTCGTCCCGGCCCCCTTTAGCATAGCCGAGAGCATAACGAGCAGCGTCTTGCCGGAGCCGGTGGCTAGCACGACGACCACCTGCTCCGCTGCCCGCGGGCCTAGGGCCGCTAGGATAGCCTCTCGCTGCCCGGGCCTCCGTAGCTGCATGCTCGGATTATTATAGAGCGTGCGCGCCGCCGCGACGAGCTCTATCTCTGTGGCCTCTGGCCTCGATCGGAGTCGTGCCTTCTTATAGGCACCGACGACACCCGTCTCGAGAGCAGAGCCCTGCCGCTTATGGCCTTGGCTCGTCCTGGCGGCCGACTCCTTAGCGAGGACCTCGTCTACCCGGAAGAGCGTGCGCCAGCTTAGCGAGGCTCGGTACGCGCGGTGCATGATCGTGTTTATCGCTAGCGTCGTCGAGCCGGCGTAGGCGTGGTTGAATGTCCGGAACGAGTGATTGCTGCCCTCGGCTAGGTCTACGAGCAGGTCGTCCTCTTCGGCCGCCTCTTCCACCGTATCG